GTGCAGGTAAAGTATAGGAGAAGAACAGACATTAATTATGGCTAATAGGTCCAGTAAAACAAATTTCCTATGTACCATAGTAGTGTCCAGCAGGATAATAACTGCTGAATTCAGCAAAAGGGAGATAATTATTCATAACAACTTTTACAGTCAAGATATTTTTGAATCCAGCTCAAATTGCATGACATTTTAAAAGTACTGTATTCCTAAAATGGTGAACATGATGCCCAGGTGTGGCTGGGCACCCCCAACAAATAGGAAGAGTGGCCTTCCTTATTGTCCCATTATTTACTGGGATTCTGTAGGCCAGATATGGAATTCAAGGTGCACCTCAAACATGGATTTCCACTTTCAGGAAAATATATGAGTTTTCATGATATTAATTCCAGGGTAAGCTCATTCACAGTGAAAGATTGGGAATTATGGCTGAATTCAAATGTGGTATGCATAAATGTATTTGTGAACAATCACACAGTGTGGCTGAGAATCACCTCCTGGGGTCAAAAGATAAAAATGGAAATTATGTGCTTATGTACCATGTATGGCCCTCAGGGATACAATTTTTACATCAAGCACAATACCAGATTACTGGTGTTTGTTAAGCATGTAACCAGCCCTACCTGATCATTGCAGTTTGTAAAATGTTGCCTGCATGCAGCTGGAAAGCTAAAACAGGGTTACAAAATACCTGAGAACCTACCACATGTCACCTTCTCTGGACATTGCAACTGCTAAAAATCTTTAAATTTTGTACATTATTAAATTTTGAGCATGATGCCCAGGTGTGGCTGGGCACCCCCAGCTTGTAAAAAGAAAAAAGGAATATACTTGAGCCAATGTCTGAGAGCTGGAAATTGCCTTCAAACCCCGTTATTTCCATGTCCACACGATAAACTCTGCACAGTAAACAATGACAAGACGCAGTCGTTAACGTATTACCCCCATTCCGCAACACGATTCCCAACGCCCGGCCCCAAAAACCCACAAGAAAAACGGGGGAAATGCTCTTTTTCCTCATCACGCTGTTTCCCGGCGACCCGTGATTACACTAATGACCCACAATCCTGCGGTAATTGGACCAGAGCGNTACAAACAATTACAAATGTGATAATCCACAGTCCATGCCTTGTTTTTCTTTTCTTCTTGAATGAGAAACAATCGTTTGGCAGACTTCAAGTTGCATAAATTACTCAAGATTTTCAGATTTATATAAGTTTCCTGCGGGATTCATCATTAATATCAGATAAGATATTTTTTTCAGATAACAGCGTGAAACAAAAAAAAATTGATTTTTTGTATCGATGATACTGATTTGATTTAATTACTTGGTTTGAGCCTCGTTTCCGCGTTCACGTTCTTAATTGGTCGCTATTGTATATCTCTTTTGATTGTTTTTAATGATCGATTACGATTGAGCTTTAATGTGCATGGAAAAGAAGCGTTCATTGTCCTCTCAGGTCCGTGATGTTATCATGAAGTCATTTTATCAGAAATATCTTTATAGAACGCCGAGTTTTTCTTCCGACTGTTTTAATTGTAAATTGTTTTTTTTTACGGAATACTATGTTTATTGTAGAAGCGGAATGCTATTTTTTTCTCGAGAAAACTATCGCTTTTTGAAGATTTTTCAGTGACATTTAAAAAAATATTTTTTCTTTTCTCTTGAATGGTTGAAAGGGACTTTGATTTTGTTTCGTGTTGACAAATTTTGTGAATCGCGGATTCGCATAAAAAATCGGTATGCTAGAGAATTCTCGAAACTTCGGAAAAAGGTTAATGTGAGCAGAAAAGCGCCATGTTTTTAGGAAACTCTTTTTGGTGACCAATTCGGTGTGTAATATATATACAGATAATTTTTTGCATTGTTTCATGAATCTGCGGATAGACATTTTATTTGGTTTCGCGTTGACAGAAAAAAAATTGGCGAACTGCAGAAACGTATGAATACGAAATGCTAAGGAATTTTGAAACTTTGGATGTGAGCAGCAGGAACGTTTTTATATTTTTTCTTGAGTTTCAAATTACGGAAACGTATCAAAATAAAATGCTGAAGAATTTTGAAACTTTCGATGTGAGCAGCAGGAACGTTTTTTTATATTTTTTTCATTACGGAAACGTATTAAAATAAAATTCTGAAGAATTTTGAAACTTCGGATGTGAGCAGCAGGAACGTTTTTTTATATTTTCTTGAGTTTCAAATTACGGAAACGTATTAAAATAAAATACTAAAGAATTTTGAAACTTTGGATGTGAGCAGCAGGAACGTTTTTTATATTTTCTCGAGTCTATAGATGAGAATTTTTTTTCGTTTCGCGTTGAAAAAAAAAAACGCTTAACTTGGTCTTGGAACTAATAAACGTCCCTTGGCATTCAGACCTACTTCCCTTGTCGCCACGGCTCCCGTAGGGTAACGTCGAGTTTCGTTTCGGCCAAGTACAGGCTCGGTAACTTATTAAATAAATGTTTAAAGAAAAACCCCAGTATATTAAATTATATTATTTATATTCATTTTTTATTTTTTAATTTTATTTTTTCGGGAAAGAAAGTCGCTTTCTATTGACGATGCGATGATGATGAGAGGCAGCATCAGACAAGACATTGAAACCCCGAAAGCATCGCAATTTTTTTTGCTTCCTTTCCTCTCCATATTTGTCTTCTTATTATTCCTTGTCCTTCCGTTGCTCCGAAAAGTACAACATCAGGTTAGTAACATATATATTTCTTGAAGAAACTTACTTTTGATTTGCATATTTATTTCTATGCGTATTTATGTTTTATTTACATATCGTCTCTGAGTTATATACTTGTACCACCCGTCGCCTCACTTTTTCGTTTCTAAATGTTTTTCGTTTCATTTCGGTTATATTATTGTGGGTTCATTTTTATCGTTATTTTTTAAACAGAAAACTCTTGATTTTTTTCTATGATTTTTATCATTCAATTGGGAGAATGCAAAGGGAGGGGAAGGAAAGAAAATTGATTATTCAGTACTAGGAATAATATACGAAGGCCAAACGGAGTCTAATTATGTTTCTGATTTTATTTTATTTGAAAAAAAAAATACGTTGAATATTAAAAAATCATTGGAAAAGTTAATGGAATTCTTTAGAATTTTTCAACAATGTTCGAAACGTTTTTAAAAGTTCGGCCTTGAGGCAATCCTCGTATATATCCCCCCTTTTTTTATAACGAATCTCAATACTGTATAACGAATTATTTGCTTACGACGAATTTGTTTTTCTTTTAGATTCCCGACAAAATGAAACTGTGCTATTATTTGACTTTATCGAAAATAAAATTTTTGCTGTAACGTATAGCTTTTTTTTCGTGGTCCAAATTGCTTCCTTGTATAACGAGATTTCACTATCTATAATTTTTTTGTTCGTGTCAGTTACTGGGACGATCAGTAGAAAGTCACTTTGAATAATTATAAATCAGTAATACACAACAATAGCCATTGATTGTAAAATTTGTTTCTTGCGTATGCAAAGCATAGATTATTGTCCATCAAATAATCATTAATTTCTGGAAGTATTTCTTTGTTTGTTTTTTGCTTAAAAAATCAGCTGGTCAAAATTTTGAAAAAATGATAGCGTCTGCAAAATGTGCAAAAATTCAAAGAAATGCTGTTCGAAAACGCATGAATTTTTCGAAGGTAATTTTGAACAAAAATTTTTAAAAATCAATAAGAAACATTTATGTCTGAAAATGCGGTTGATTAAACAAATACGAACTCCCCTTTTTTTTAAATAATTGCATAAAAAATAACCTTTCTTTTACGTACATCATAACAAATCGGTAAAAAAAAAAAAAATGTCCCGGTTTTCCGTTTATATTACATTTCTGTATTTTTCATGCACTTGATTGGTTTCTTGGGATAAATGTTTCGTCGTCGTGTTATCTCGAAAAAAAAATAAGATTTCGGCTCGAAACAGTTCGTTCATATTATTTTCCCAGTGCGTATCGTATTATACCCGCAAATTTTGAGAAAATGCTTCTGAATTTTGTGAAGTTTTCAATACATGGGAATGGCCAAAATTTCCCCCCTCGAAATTTAGACCAATTCCTTATTGGATTTGAATAAATTCGATGGATGGATTTTTAAATCAGTATCAGCATGATTTCGTCTGCGAAAAAATATTTATACGTAAAACCTTTTTCGTGTTATTAGATCGCACATTCTGCCTGGAACCATTTGCAGTCGTTTTTTTCGGTTTTTTTTAACAATTTGACTCACTCACCATTCATTGATTCAAATTTGAACGCACGCATTTTTGTAGCGAAAAATTAAATACACATTATTTCTTAGTTTTTTCGCCTGGGTTCAAAAATAAGGCAAGTTTATTTTCAAAGAATTTTTTATAATTTTCGCAATTTAGCTAAAAATTTATATAGATTGATTGATTAGAAAGTTTTGTTGAGAAATGAAATTCAATCTTTTTTTTCATTCATTTATTACAGCGTGTCAGAGAGTGTGGGAATGTGGCGCCACCAAGCGACGTCGACGTGAACCAACATCCCAAATCCGCCATTGCACCAACTTTGACAGCTGCCAAGACGCCATTTTTCCCACCCTTGGTACCAAACACGACCACAAGGAATAAAAATCAAAATAATAATAATGACGCAATGACAAGGGATTGTGAAGTGAGGCAAATCATGGTGACGCGTGGAATAACCTCTTTTGGCAACACTGGCTCCATTGCAAGCTCAATGGACACATTTGCAACGTGTGAAGAAGAGGGTGATGATGATGATTTCAATGATGATGAGGATGCTGATGGTGATTATAATGATGATGAACACAAAGCTGACAATGATGGTGCAGAAGGCAGGGAAAAATGTGTGAGTTATTCATCTTTTTTGCTGTTGCAAAAATGAATATTTATTGCAGATTTTAAGCTGAAAATCAAACATTTGAGATGCAAGAGACATCTGATGAGTGCTGAGGCAGTTACCCAGCCTTGAAAGGAATTTCAAATTAAAAGTGCAAATCTGCACTTTTGACTGCAAAAATGAAGGAAGCTGGAGCATCCTCACTCCTTGGATGTTAAAAGCAGACTTATTTTTGTCTCATCACAGGTTTTATGTAGACAACAATCACACCCACACAATCAGCAAATACCATCTTGCATTGTGCAATAAAAACTTGCTTCCAAAAGAAAAAAAAATCACCAAACAAAAGATGCTTGGCTTATTATTGCGCAACTCACAAATGCGCTAAATTTCAAAGCACATGGAAAATTCCACAAGGTCTTAAATTAAAGCTGAAGAAGTTTTCCAACTTTATCTTTAATCATATAAAAAATGATTCGATTGACAGATCTTGAGATATTCTAACTTTTTTGAACCAAACTTTTTCTTTGGCGATAAGAATCTGGAAAAACCCTCATGCATGCCAGATTCTTTATCTCATTTATGCACAAGCTTTTGGTGAAAACAGTGACTTCAAAAACATGTTTGTTTCTAAATGCATGGAATAGATTTATTTCTGCAGCAAATATGTTTCAAAAATAATGTTTCATAAACATTAAAAATATACTTTTACACCCATTGCAAAATGAAAGATTGAACTTTTTGGAAAAATATTCTCATGAATTGATCACTGCTATGTTACCCAAATAATTAAACCAAGAACAATTGGAATACTGTAAACTGATATTACTTCATCATTTTTGAGCAAAAAACTCTTTTCAAAGATCCAAGTCTGTCCACAACACTTTGTCTCCAAGACACCAGATGTCGCTTCAGAGTGACTGCAATTAATATGAATGCTTTTGGCTGGTTTTAAAGAGGTATAATAGACACGTTTTTGAAATTAATGCTTCATTTTGGTCCATCTTTCAAAATGATTTTGTCCATGCCAAAGTAAACATTTTAACAGTATGAAGTACTGTATACTGTATATTAAAAGCCTTCATGATAGTCACTTTTGTACACATTTGACATTATGTGACTTTCCAAGATAAAAAAAAAATGTATAATCTCAATTAATTCCAGCATTTTATCATGATTTTGAGCTTAGCTTGACCCAAATTTCATTGAATCAAGGAAAATAACTCAGCATGCATTAAATTAAAAGAGTAAATTTAACTCAAGATATTTTCTGATCAATTTAAAAAAAATTCACTCAGTCATGGTGACCTGAATAATTCAAGTGTCAATGTTATTTTATTTTAATTTTGTCAAACATCCTGAATCCATATGAATAATCAGTATTGATTTTTATCCTTTTTTCTTGATGTGTTAAAAATTGTGAGACGTGCTAATTTTTTTTTCTAAAATTTGATTTGATTTTCAGGTCTCCTTCCCAAGTTTGACAATGCACTAAAAGCTCAGAAAGAACCAGATTTTTAAAATACTGTACAATTCGTGATTATCTTCGTGAAAAATTCGTTACGTCGATGCCTTTTATATTCGGAGCTCGAGAGAACTTCATTGAGGCATTTATTTTATTTTAGTGCGATCACCCTGTATATATTTTATTTGCCAAATTTAATCACGTGATATACCACGTAATTCGAGTAAACCTGAGTGACAGCGTTTCCAACCGCTCTGGATGTGATTTATTTCCTTGAATGAAACGCGGTTTGGAGCTATGCCAAGTGTAAGCTGACCATTAAACACCAGATGTCACTATAGTGACATTTCTCTCCTGTACCGTAAATCTAATATACTTTACACGCTATTCTGCCACTCCCTCAACTGAATTGAACATTTGCTGTAACTATCAATCAAGGGGTTGAAACGATTTTTTTTTGTTGGCTGGATGATCATGAAAGAGTCCATCTGTTAAGTGTTGATTTGTTTTTAGTTTTGAAAAAATCTGGATCTGTTCAGAAATTGATTTATTGCATTTTCAGGGGAAATACTGAACCTTTAAAAATATTTGGAAATACGATTTTTTTGTTTGCGTGATTTTATTTTATCATGGTGAAATCTTGAAAATCTTCGTTTTATGGAACAATTCCAAGATTCTGATGAAAAATGTTTTGAAGATTATTTTTCAAAATGAGAGGTTCATTGTTATTTTTACTATGAAGAATTTTATTGGTCGAACCAATTTCTGCAAGGATCTTTGAAATTGAAGCGATTTTTCCAACAGATTTTTTTTTGCAAAAGTCAAAACTGCAATTTAACAAGAGAGACTTGCTTCAATTATTTTCATATTGAAACCATGCTTTTTGGAAGAAATGTACCGTATTTTGAAATTTTATTTTATGCACCTGGCGAATAATTTTATCAAATTTCCGACGCTTCACATTTTTCATGTTTCTTGAACGCACGTTCATATGCTTGAAAAAATTAAAACACGTCACTTTTGAAAAATGATATTTTTTAAGCTGAAAAATTAAAAAAAAAGACTTTCGACTCCATTCATTTTTCAACGAGTTTCGTCAAATTTGAAAATTAGATACTGCGTGTACATGAACTTTTCGGTCTTGGGTATAATTTTCTGCGTAAATCACCGACAATTTGTT